ATTGCAAATGGCAAGATCTCATTCCTTTTGATGGCTGCATAATATTCCATTGTATATATATACCACTTCTTTATCCATTTATCTGTCGATGGACATCTTGGCTCTTTCCACAGTTTGGCTATTGTGGACATTGCTGCTATAAACATTGGGGTGCACGTACCCCTTTGGATCCCTACATTTGTGTCTTTGGGGTAAATACCCAGTAGTGCAATTGCTGGATCATATGGTAGCTCTATCTTCAACTTTTTGAGGAACCTCCATACCGTTTTCCAGAGTGGTTGCACCAGTTTGCATTCCCACCAACAGTGTAGGAGGGTTCCCCTTTCTCCGCATCCCTGCCAACATCCATCGTTTCCTGACTTGTTAATTTTAGCCATTCTGACTGGTGTGAGGTGGTATCTCATTGAGGTTTTGATTTGGATTTCCCTGTTGCCGAGCAACGTTGAGCACTTTTTCATGTGTCTGTTGGCCATTTGGATGTCTTCTTTGCAGAAATGTCTGTTCATGTCTTCTGCCCATTTCTTGATCGGATCATTTGTTTTTTGGGTGTTGAGTTTGAGAAGTTCTTTATAGATTTTGGATACTAGCCCTTTATTTGATATGTCATTTGCAAATATCTTCTCCCATTCTGTCAGTTGTCTTTTGGTTTTGTTGACTGTTTCCTTTGCTGTGCAAAAGCTTTTTATCTTGATGAAGTCCCAATAGTTCATTTTTGCCCGCGCTTCCCTTGTCTTTGGAGACGTGTCTAGCAGCCAAGGTCACAGAGATTGCTGTCTGTGTTAATTTCTCTTTCTTCTGTCTTGTTGTTGGTGTATAGGAATGCCACTGATTTCTGTGCATTGATTTTATATCCTGCCACTTTACTGAATTCCTGTATGAGTTCTAGCAGTTTTGGGGTGGAGTCTTTTGGGTTTTCCACATAAAGTATCATATCATCTGCAAAGAGTGAGAGTTTGACTTCTTCTTTGCCGATTTGGATGCCTTTTATTTCTTTTTGTTGTCTGATTGCTGTGGCTAGGACTTCTAATACTATGTTGAATAGCAGTGGTGATAGTGGACATCTCTGCTGCATTCCTGACCTTAGGGGGAAAGCTCTGTTTTTCCCCATTGAGAATGATATTCACTGTAGGATTTTCCATAGATGGCTTTTATGATATTGAGGTATATACCCTCGATCCCTATACTCTGAAGAGTTTTGATCAAGAAAGGATGCTGTACTTTGTCAAATGCTTTTTCTGCATCTATTGAGAGGATCATATGATTCTTGTTCTTTCTTTTGTTAAGGTATTGTATCACGTTGATTGATTTGCAGATGTTGAACCAACCTTGGAGCCCAGGGATAAATCCCACTTGGTCGTGGTGAATAATCCTTTTAATGTACTGATGGATCCTATTGGCTAGTATTTTGGTGAGAATTTTTGCATCCATGTTCATCAAGGATATTGGTCTGTAATTCTCCTTTTTGATGGGGACTTTGGTTTTGGGATCAAGGTAATGGTGGCCTCATAAAACGATTTTGGAAGTTTTCCTTCCATTTCTATTTTTTGGAACAGTTTCAGAAGAATAGGTATTAATTCTTCTTTAAATGTTTGGTAGAATTCCCCTGGGAAGGCATCTGGCCCTGGGCTTCTGTTTTTTGGGAGATTTTTGATGACTGCTTCAATTTCCTTAGTGGTTATAGGTCTGTTCAGGTTTTCTATTTCTTCCTGGTTCAGTTTTGGTAGTTGATACATCTCTAGGAATGCATCCATTTCTTCCAGGTTATCTAATTTGCTGGCATAGAGTTGCTCATAATATGTTCTTATAATTGTTTGTATTTCTTTGGTGTTGGTTGTGATCTCTCCTCTTTCATTCATGATTTTGTTGATTTGGGTCATTTCTCTTTTCTTTTTGATAAGTCTGGCCAGAGGTTTATCAATCTTGTTAATTCTTTCAAAGAACCAGCTCCTAGTTTCGTTGATCTGTTCTACTGTTCTTTTGGTTTCTATTTCATTGATTTCTGCTCTGATCTTTATTATTTCTCTTTTCCTGCTGGGTTTAGGCTTGTTTTGCTGTTCTTTCTCCAGCTCCTTTAGGTGTAGGGTTAGGTTGTGTACTTGAGACCTTTCTTGTTTCTTGAGAAAGGCTTGTATTGCTATATACTTGCCTCTTAGGACTGCTTTTGCTGCATCCCAAAGATTTTGAACAGTTGTGTCTTCATTTTCATTGGTTTCCATGAATTTTTAAAATTCTTCTTTAATTTCCTGGTTGACCCAGTCATTCTTTAGTAGTATGCTCTTTAGCCTCCATGTATTTGAATTCTTTCCAACTTTCCTCTTGTGATTGAGTTCTAGTTTCAAAGCACTGTGGTCTGAAAATAGGCAGGGAATGATCCCAATCTTTTGGTACCGGTTGAGACCTGATTTGTAACCTAGGATGTGATCTAGTCTGGAGAATGTTCCATGGGCACTAGAGAAGGATGTGTATTCCATTGCTTTGGGATGGAATGTTCTGAATATGTCTGTGAAGTCCAGTTGGTCTAGTGTGTCATTTAAAGTCTTTATTTCCTTGTTGATCTTTTGCTTAGATGATCTGTCCATTTCAGTGAGGGGGGTGTTAAAGTCCCCCACTATTATTGTATTGTTGTCAATGTGTTTCTTTGCTTTTGTTATTAATTGCCTTATATAATTGGCTGCTCCCAAGTTAGGGGCATAGATATTTACAATTGTCAGATCTTCTTGTTGGATAGACCCTTTAAGTATGATATAGTGTCCTTCCTCATCTCTTATTACAGTCTTTGGTTTAAAATCTAATTTGTCTGATTTAAGGATTGCCACACCAGCTTTCTTTTGGTGTCCATTAGCATGGTAAATGGTTTTCCACCCCCTCACTTTCAATCTGGGGCTGTCTTTGGGTCTAAAATGAGTCTCTTGCAGACAGCATATCAATGGGTCTTGTTTTTTAATCTAATCTGATAGCCTGTGTCTTTTGATTGGGGCATTTAGCCCATTTACATTCAGGGTAACTATTGAAAGCTATGAATTTAGTGCCATTGTATTGCCTGTAAGGTGACTGTTACTGTATATTGCCTGTGTTCCTTTCTGGTCTATGTTGCTTTTAGGCTCTCTCTTTGCTTAGAGGACCCCTTTCAATATTTCTTGTAGGGCTGGTTTCGTGTTTGCAAATTCCTTTAGTTTTTGTTTGTTCTGGAAGCTTTTTATCTCTCCTTCTATTTTCAGTGACAGCCTAGCTGGATATAGTATTCTTGGCTGCATATTTTTCTCATTTAGTGCTCTAAATATATCATGCCAGTCCTTTCTGGCCTGCCAGGTCTCCGTGGATAGGTCTGTTGCCAATCTAATGTTTCTACCATTGTAGGTTACAGATCTCTTCTCCCAAGCTGCTTTCAGGATTTTCCCTTTGTCTCTGAGACTTGTAAGTTTTACTATTAGATGTTGGGGTGTTGACCTATTTTTATTGATTTTGAGAGGGGTTCTCTGTGCCTCTTGGATTTTGATGCCTGTTTCCTTCCCCAAATTAGGGAAGTTCTCTGCTATAATTTGCTCCAATATACCTTCTGCCCCTCTCTCTCTCTTTCTTCTTCTTCTGGGATCCCAATTATTCTAATGTCATTTTGTCTTATGGTATCACTTAGCTCTCGAATTCTGCCCTCATGATCCAGTAGTTGTTTATCTCTCTTTTTCTCAGCTTCTTTATTTTCCGTCATTTGGTCTTCTATATCACTGATTCTCTCTTCTGCCTCATTTATCCTAGCAGCACCCCCATTTTTTTATTGCACCTCATTAATAGCCTTTTAATTTTGACTTGGTTAGATTTTAGTTCTTTTATTTCTCCAGAAAGCATTTCTCTAATAACTTCCATGCTTTTTTCAAGCCCAGCTAGTATCTTTAAAGTGATGATTCTGAACTCTAGATCCAACATCATACTAATGTCCATATTGAGTAGGTCCCTGGCAGTCGGTACTACCTCTTGTTCTTTTTGTTGAGGTGATTTTTTCCGTCTTGTCATTTTGTCCAGAGGAGAATAGATTAATGAGAGAACAAAATGCTAACAGGGTAACAATGTCCCCAGAAAATATACTCTAAACAAATCAGAAAAGACCTGAAGCCAGGGGAAAAAGAAAGGGAAAGAAAGAAAAAAGAAAAAGATAAAAACAAAACAAAACAAAAAATGAGAACAAAACAACAACAACAACAACAAAACAGAATATGATCAAATATGATCAGGCTAGTGCATAGATCAGTGCCACACACTAGATTCTGGGTGCATTTTGGTCTGTTAGAAGATAGTGCCTCCCAAGATTTTAAAGAAAGGAAAACTTATATATGTACAAAAATAAGGGTTGATATGATGAAGGGATGAAATATGATTGTAAAGATGAAAATTATAAAAAATTTTATAAAAGGAATTGATAAGAAGTTGTTTGAAAAAAGAAAAGAGGATAAAAAAAAAAGAAAAAAAAGGGAGAGAATGTGATCAGGCAGGAGAGTAGAACAAAACCATACACTAGAGATTTAGGGTATATTTTGATCTGTTAGAAGAAACTATCTCAAAATTTTAAAGAGAGAACAACTTATATATATATACCAAAAATAAGGGTAACTACTATGAAGGGATAGAATATGACTCTAAAAATGAAAAATAAAAATGTTTTTTAAAAAAGGGATTGATAAGATGTTGGTTGAAAAAGGGAAAAAGAAAAATTCAAAAAAAAAAAGTTAAAAAAAATTAACTTTGAAAGACTAAAGAATCATGGTAAAAAAGCCATGAATTCTATGTTCAGTATTCCCCTAGCGCTGGAGCTCTGCCATTCCCGTTGATCGGTAAACTTGGTCTTGGCCGGCTGTTCTCGCTGATCTTCTGGGGAGGGGCCTGTTGCCGTGGTTTCCAAATGTCTCTGCCGGAGGCGGAATTGCCCCGCCCTTGCCCCCTCCTGGCTAAGTGATCTGCTCGGGTTTGCTCTCCGGGGCTTTTGTTCCCTGCGAGCTTTCCGTACAGCTTTGGAGGCGGAGAGTGAAATGGCGGCCTCCCAATCTCCGCCCCAGAGGAGCTGAGAACTCGGGGCCCCGCTCCTCAGTGCTCCCCCAGAGAAAAGCCGTCAGTCACTCCCGCCTCCCTGGTCTACGGCCGCACTCCGTGCTCACCCGGCCTGGACCGAGGGTTTCTATCTCTGGCACCCGACCCCGGGTGGAGTCTCCAAACCCAGCAGATCCCTGCGGTGAGCTCCCGCGTGGCTCCCCCCGGGGGAGGAAGGTGAGTCTCCCCGATCTGCCGCTTGTTGGGTCCCTGCTGGAGGAGCAGGGGCCCGACTGTGCCACGGATCACGGTTTAGGGCCACCCCGAGCTGAGAGCCCGCGCCTGGGCTCCGCCTCTGCAGCCGGCTTCCCTGCTCCGATACCTGGGAGCTCTGCCCCACTCAGGCACCCCCGGTCTTTCTGTGACCCCGAGGGTCCTGAGACCACACTGTCCCGGAGGGTTCCACCCCCCACTTAGCCACCAGAGTGACGTCCCTCGGCGGAGCAGACTTTTAAAAGTTCCGACTTTGTGCTCCGCGGCTCTGTCACTTGCCAGAAGCGGCCGACGGAGGCCCCTCCCCCGCCGTCTATCCTCCCGAATATCGCCTCGGATTCACTTCTCCGCACGTCCTACCTTCCAGAAAGTGGTCGCTTTTCTGTTCAGAGAGTTGTTGCTCTTCTTTTCTTCGATCTCCTGTTGAGTTTGTAGGTGTTCAGAATGGTTTGATCCCTATCCAGCTGAATTCCCGGGAGGAGATGAAATCCCGGTCTCCTACTCCTCTGCCATCTTGCTCCGCCCCACATCATTGGTTTTTGATGTGGTGATCCACGATCCATTGTTTTCGTATAACACCCAGTGCTCCATGCAGTGTGTGCCCTCCTTAATACCCGTCACCAGGCTAACCCATCCCCCCTCCCCCTCCCCTCTAAAACCCTGTTTGTCTCTCAGAGTCCATAGTCTCTCATGGTTCATCTCCCCCTCCGATTCCCCCCCTTCATTTTTCCCTTCCTGCTCCTAATGTCCTCCATGCTATTCCTTATGTTTCACAAATAAGTGAAACCATATGATAATTGACTTTCTCTGCTTGACTTATTTCACTTAGCATAATCTCCTAAGTCCCATCCATTTTGATGGAAAAGTTGGGTATTCATCCTTTCTGATGGCTGAGTAATATTCCATTGTATATATGGACCACATCTTCTTTATCCATTCATCTGTTGAAGGGCATCTCAGCTCTTTCCACAGTTTGGCTATTGCGGACATTGCTGCTATGAACATTGGGGTGCACATGGCCCTTCTTTTCACTACATCTGTGTCTTTGGGGTAAATACCCAGTAGTGCAATTGCTGGGTCATAGTAAACCAAAATTATTGTCTGGCAGCAAGCATTAGCACCTTTAGGGCAATTGCTCTTTCATTCCTATAGTGCAGTGCTGACAAGAGGTTCCCATTTCTCAATGACTGGCAAGCTTTCAGTTCTAGAGAGCACACAGTGACCCAGAAAGACACTTCCTGAGCTATTGCCAACTGCTAAGCTAGGTCAGTGTGCCCCGTGGCTTCCAGAGAAACAAACCCTCAGTCTGACATGACAAACCATCCACCACCTCTCTTCCGTCCATTCTGACTCAATTTCCTGTACCTCCTCCCCAGAGTTTCTACACTAGTGTGTATACACCTGCAAGAAATAACCTTTCACTGGGTCACTGAGATTCGCAGGTGTATCCTTCTCACCAAAGCCCTGGAGCAAATCGATGGCACACACGTTCCAGGTGGAGTTTATTCCCTAGAGTGTGTGACAGGTTGGTGGGGAGCCGGGCGGGTGGGGGAGGGATGCATCAGCTTTTGAATCAGAACACTTTAATTCAAGGGGATATTAAGACTGACTTTCCAAATCTGTGATGAGGAACAAACGAGTTCATATTTGTGGAGGTTTTATAAAGTATTCGACAAAAATAATTTACTGTAATTAGTTCTTAACTCTGTGTGTCCCTCCACAGGATCGCCAGCCCACCCAGACGCTGCATTCCCTATGACTTAGATCTGCCTCTTCCCAGCACCCCTGCCCCAGCAATTCCACTGTGTTGCCCTAAATTTGGCCTCTGTTACGGTTAGAGGCTTCCCAAGTAACCACCTGGCCTGCCTTTGGCTTTTCCCTGGAAGGGAACAGGAAGGACACAGGCATTGGAGCCAAATCGATGTGGAGCTGAGTCCTGGTTTTGCTTCTCACCATCTGGGGACGAGGCTTAATCCTTTCAGCGTTAATGTCCTCAGCTGTAAAATGGGCACAATAAAGCTGCCCTGAAAACATGAGGAGCAATGTATGTTAGACACCTGGCAAAACAAATGATCAGTTAAACCCCCCCTAGCCCACTGGTGCCAGATCAATCTCCCCAAAACACAGGTTAGGCTCAAAATCCACCTGCCGCTGCCCACCGGCCGGAAGTGAAGTACAAACTCCTCGCTTGGGAAGGATGGATCTCAAGGAGAAACCCAAGAGACCGCCCATCACGCGGGGATGGCTAAGGCATCAAGACAGGCTGGAGGCATCAACCTGATCTCGCAGAGAGAGATTCAGACCTTGGAGGAAAAAGCAAAATAAGGGGAGAAAAGGAAGCAGAACGATGGCCCAGTGTGCATTCTTTTGGCAACTAGAGCGAGGAAAACGCAGCGCACGGAGGCATTCTGAAAAAATGAATCCGCTGCACTACACCGGGTTGTCCTTGAAACAGACTCCGCCCTCACCTTCGGCGTCGTCCTAAAGGATCGGCTCTCCTGTGTAGTCAGGTTGGCTCCCGCTTCCTCGCAGATCTGGGGCGACTTGGGGGAGGGGTTTGTGCCGTGGACCTGCCCCCACCCCCACCCCCGGCCGCGCTGTGCTGCTGAAGGTAAATCCTGGAATTGCACGTACGTTCGTGAGATCAGGCCTCTTCTGTCTGTCGTTTTGCTGCTTGGAAGGCAAAAGACCCCTCCTCGAGGGGCCTGCATGGATTGGCCTGGCATTGGCCCGAGGTCCTGCAATCGCTGGGCCTGGGTTGCCATCTCCTTCCTCGGGAGGACTGGGGAGCGGGACAGGTGCATTGAGACATTCTAGCCCCCTCCTCGGGGGAGACAGGCAGTGGGACGCAGGGGAACTCTGCATGGAAATCAGAAGACCAAGACATCCCAGTCATGCCCTGTAGGGTCTGGATTTCAGGCACCATTTCAGCCCCTCTGAGCCTGTAAAATAGGCCTGATAAGTCGCTGTCAACCCATTCTTCATTCTGTGGTTTCCTGAGTGGCTTCCCTAGGGAGTGGAATAGGGGCAGGCGTCCACAACTATACCGTGGTTCTTAAACACAAAAAGAAGATTCTATGAAATCAGCAGGTACAAATTTGAATCCACAAAGGCACACAGAAAAAATTCCTCAGATCATCACCTTTCCACCCAGATCACAAATTCCTCTTCATGAAGCACACCGTGGTCTCTCTTAAGTGAAATCTACCTCTCCCGTCCCTGCATTTGGGTGGCACTCAGCTGCCCACATGGGACTTGAGCAAGTTATTGGTCTTCACCTTGCCTGAAAGATACCTACTTCATGAGGGTTTTCTCCCCACTACTCATGTTTCTTTTCATGTGGCAGGAGCTTTTTAGCATTACAAACGCCTGACCTTCCTCAGTCTGTTCACTTACTCTGTTTCAGGGAAGTTGGGATAACTTATTTGCCTGGAAAGTTTGGAAGGAGAAACCAGGTGTCTCCTCCCACCCCGGTCCCTTCCCCTTTGCTTGAGAAGCCGGTTCCTTCCCTTGGAGTATGTTCTCTGCAATTCCATGAGCAGGGTTCCCCCCTACAGGCCTGCCTCAACCAGCAAAGGAGCAACTGGGCAGTAAGGTTTTAAATTCTAGGCTTCTATATCAACAATCCCATGGTGGCGCTTATACCAAGCTGTGGGGTCGTTTTGATTGTCTATGTGTTGGCTCAGTTTGTCCCGTGTCCTCGTTCAGAACTCAGATGGGGAAGCGGGTTCTGTTTATTGGCCCCTTGGTAGATTGTGTTATTGTTCCAAATATTCAGTTCTTCCCTATGAGAAGATTATTCCCTCCACCTCCAACGAAGCCAGACTTGATCATTTACTTAATATGGCTAACAGACTGTGTGAGTAGAAGTGACAAGTGCCACTTCCCAGAAGTTTTAAGAGCTAATGCTCTTCCACCATTGTTCTTCGTCCTTCTTTGCCTTGTTTGTCCCAGACAGGAGCTGCTCTGCCAACTCAGGACATGTGAGCATCACTGGAGTTGATGCTAGAATAACAGGTAAAGTGAGCAAGAAATCAACCTTCCCTTTTATTTATTTATTTATTTTTTGGTAGGCTCCTGAGATTTGGGGGTGGTTGTTGTAACATCATAGTGAATATTGACCTATACAAAAATTGGTACCTGGAAGTAAGTACAAAAGTTTAAAAATAGTGGCATTGGCATTTGGCATTGGCATGGTCCGGGTGGTGGACCATGAGGGCACTGTCATTCAAGGTGGGGAAAGTGGCAGTCCATATAGTACAATGGCAAAACCTTTGTTAAAATGATCTTCTGAGATAACTTGATAGGAAGATAATTTAGCTAATAAGGTTTTCGCTTTGGGTAAAGCAATGGGAAAATGGAATTTTGGGTGCATGAGGTAATGTCTATTGGGTGCACTTGAAAAAAAAAAAAGTCATAAAGCCAACTACATTTTTTAGGAAGCTGTAGCTCCAAAAGAACCATTAATCTAAACTCAAAGAAACAGGGACTGTTTCAATACTTGAAATAATCTTTGGATCTCCCAACATTTTACAGGCAGGAAGCAAGCTGAGAAAGCAGCTCAGCTTTCATGGGGAACATATGGCCCAAGGTCTATTTCAGATATGGCCACTGGGTTTGATGGTGTAGATCGAGCCTCCCAAACAGTTGACCCACGAGCCACATGGAGTCACTTCCAGGGACAGAACCCAATCACTTCCCCGAGTCCCACGTAGGCAGCTTTCCATCTTTCCTCTACTTGGGAATGTTTATTATGGTTAACTTTTCCTGTTCTACTATTCTGTGTTGGTAAATATCGGGGAGGGGAGGGTCTGAAAGTCAAGGACTTTCTCCCAATCCCAGGTAGGGAACTTTTACAAGGTATGCCCAGGGGGATTTTAGAGGTGCTTATGAAAATATATGGTAATTAAATTAAAAGGCATCTTCTTTACCATTACATCAGCAACGTTAGCAACTTTAGGGCAAATATTCTTCCATTCTTACGGGGCCGGTGCTGACAAGAGGCTCATATTTCTCAGGGATTGACAGGTCTTCATGACAATGAGCACATGTCTATCTTGACATTTTCTGAGATGTTGCCAACTGCCATCTGGGTCAATGTGTTCCACGCCTTCCAGAGAAACAAGCCTTCTGTTCTGACTGGTCCCCAACCGCAACTTCTTCTGCACATTTTCATCCAACTTCCTCTGCTCCACTTTCCAGCTGCAGCTGAATTTCTCAACACACACATACAAACACAGACACATGCCCCTACTCCATCCCTTGACAGCTCCCCAGACTGAAATGTTCCCTTCTTGCTGGAGGTCAGCTCTGTGGTAAACCTGAACTCAGCTGACAGCCCAAGTTTAGATCAATTTCTTGCTAAAGATTTAAGAATTCTTCACCGTTAGAACCCATCTTTATTTCACCCAAAGTCCTGAGTCTCACTCTGAGTCACAAGCAGAAGCACCAAGATATGCAAAGGCTGCCCCCTCTATATGGAAGGGCTGGGAGAAAAATGTCCAATCACAACAGGCTTGACCAACAGAAGGCAGAACCTGTTCTTTGGAACCATATTAATTGGCCTCTTCCCTTTCAAAGGGTGGCCATTCAGGTATTTACAGGTGACAGTTATGACCCCCTAAGTCTCCTCTTCTTCAAGTTAGATATCCCCATGGTTTTCATGTATCTTTATATATTTTTAAGATTTTACTTATTTATTTGAGAGAGAGAGAGCATGAGGAGGGGGAGGGGCACAGGGAGAGGGAGAGAGAGAATCTTAAGCAGACTCCATGCTGAGCGAGGAGCCCGATGCAGGGCTCGATCTCACGACCCTGAGATCATGACCTGAGCCGAAACCAAGAGTCGGACGCTTAACCGACTGAGCCACCCAGGTGCCCCTTCATGTATCTTTAAAAGAGAGAAAGAGATAAGTGTTTTATAAATGTAATAATGCCACATACACATAAGTTATTGCATTGCCTGGATTCAAAATTCAATCTCCATCCTGAGCACTCTGCTCTGAGCACATCCACATCCATTTCACACCAGAAAATAACCCCAGCTATAAGCAAGGCTTCGCATCCTGAATTATTCACCACGCCATTATTTGTAATGGCAAAAAGAATCCAAAAATTATCTCCAATGTTTGTGTGTTTACAGCCCGAGAAGATATAGCTGCACACAGTATTATGCCGCAGTTTAAAATTGTGTTTATCAACCCAAGAGAAGTGAAAACATATGTCCACACAAAAACGTGTACCACGTGTTCATTGCAGCATTATTTGTCATAACCAAAAGGTAGACACAAGCCATCAATGGATGAATGGATGAACTGATGTGGTATATTCATACAGAATATTACTAGAACACAGAATCTTATTCAGCCATAAAAAGGAACAACCTACTGATATGTGCTATGACATGGATGAACCTTGAAAAAATGATGGTAAGTGAAAGAAGCCAGACACCTGTTGTATGATTCCATTTATAAGAAATGTCCCGAATAAGCAGATCTGCAGAGACAGACAATAGCTTAGTGGTTATCAGAGGTTGAGGGCAGGGAGGAATGGGGAATGACTGCTAACAGGTATGAGGTTTCTTTTTGGGGTGATAAAAATGTTCTAATATTGATTATGGTTGTAATTCCAAAGTTTTGCGAGTATACTAAAAGCCATTGAATTGTACTCTTTCAAGCGATGAATTATATGGCATGTGAATTATAACTCAATGGTGCTGTTAAAAATATGTTTACTGGGGCACCTCGATGGCTCGGCCAGTTAAGCGTCTGCCTTCGGCCCAGGTCATGATCTCAGGGTCCTGGGACCGAGCCCCGAGTCGGGCTCCCTGCTCAGCAGGGAGTCTGCTTCTCCCTCTCCCTCTGCAGCTCTCCCTGCTCCTGCTTTCTCTTTCAAATAAATAAATAAAATCTTTTTAAAAAACATGTTTACTGAATAGTTTTCAACTATTAGATCTGGATCTTTCCAAACCTCCTTGTTAAAAGTCACCTTAGCTATTCCACACCACTGTTTTAACTGCTGAGATACATCTGGATTCAGATTCCCCGCCCTGCAGAGTCGCTCACCTGGCCGAGTGGTGTTCTTTTCAGGCTGGTCAGTGGATCACTCAAAAGTCCACCCAAGAAGGGCCAACTGTCAATGCTGGCCTTGGCACTGGCTCTGAAGGTCGACATAACAAGGTCCTGGCCCCCCAGGGGCTCACGATCAGAGGCCTGAGTAGTGCAGTCACGTGATGGGTGCTCTTCTGGGGCTACAACTTGCCCGGTGTCTGACCGCATCCTCCACCTCCTGAACCACTCCAGGCTTCTCCATATTTGGACTGATGCTCTTGTCCTGAGAGAGAGGAACAGCTTTCCCCTTCCTTCCCATTCTCTGCAGGTCTACCTGTGAAAGATGGGGAACGTGTCGCAGAAGCAGTGTGTCCGAGGAAGGAAAGGAACTCATAAGGTTGCCTCAGGAGAAAAGGTAATTGGGGCAGAGGGAAGGCTTGGGCTAAGCCATGGCATCTGACACATTTGGGGAACTAGAGGCAGTTCAGGGTGGCCCTCAGTCTATTCCCATCACTGCTCTTGCTCTCCTCTTTATTTCGGGGTCCGTGTGTCTCCCAGCCTCTTGTCTTCTTCATTCGTCGCCAGCCCTGCCCTGTGCACTTGATTACAATCTGCAGCTTCCCTGGCCTGGCCTTCGGTGTTCTCTAAGAACCTGGCTCCTACTTTCCCTCTGGCTCATCCTAGTCCTGGACACTTTGGATAACCTCCCTGACCAGCCATCTTTGCCCCTTGGGACCACAAGCCCAGTCCTCAACAGAGACAACCGGACGGATGCTAACCAGGACATCTGGGGATGGGCTGTAGGGCTCTGTCCTCCTGTCCAAATGCTCTCACTGGTGTCTTAAATAAAGATGAAGAAGGCCTGGTTTTCAAGTGTGTGTGCCCAAATCCGGGGTAAGTGTGGAGACAATGTGGCAGGAAGCATTGAGCATCCTGACAGGTTGGAACAAAGGACCAAATCTAAGGAGATGAAATATCTGGACCTCAGGGTATAAAACCATGCCCAATGCCAGGAAAGGAGAAGCATGGCACAGCAGAATATCATATGAGGAAAGACTTGGGGTTTTAGAAAGGAAAAAGCTCTTGTTGCGTTAATAATCTGTGTTTTTAAAGGAAGCGCATGGACTCCAGGCTGCATTAATAAAGATCTGGTGTCCAGACAAAAGGAGGTGAGAGTCCTGTTGTATTCCTATCAGACCACATGTGAACTATAGTGTCTGGTTCTGGAAGTTACACTGTGGGAGACAGAGACAAACTTGAACAACGGTTCTTAACCCTGGCTGGACATTATAATCACCTGGGAACTTTCAAGACCCTTGATGCCCAGGCCAAGGAGAATCTTGGGGAGGGGGACCTACACATCAGTAGTTTTTAAACTTAAAAAAAATATTTTTTGGCTTACAGGAGAATTGCAGAAAATACAGAAAATTCCCATATACCCTTCATCCAGCTTCCCCTTATGTTAACGTCTGATATAACCACAGCCTAATGAGCAAAACTAAGAAATCAATGCTGGCACAATGCTAGGCACTGGATGATGGACCTTATTCCAGTTTCACCTGTCCTTCCACTATTGCCTTTTCTTCTGTTCCAGGATCCTACCCGGGACCCCACTTGGCATTTAATTGTCATGCCTCCTTAGCATTCTCCAATCTGTAACAATTCCACAGTTCTTTCTTGCCTTCCATGACTCTAACATTTTTGAAGAGTACCCAAAGGACGAAATGTCTGCTGGTTTGGGCTTTTCTGGTGTTCTCTCATGATTAGATTGAGGTTACACATTTTTGCCAAGGATACCATAGTAACTAGTGGATTTGTGTTTTTTCAGTGCGTCACATCAAAAGATTTGTGATGTCAACATATCTTTGTGTAATAATAGAAAATATGTATTGGTCTCTGTCCCCGGTGCCTGGCACAGAATTCCTAAAGTCTTTGTAATTTCTTGGGCGAGAGGAGTGTCTTGTTCTAGTGAGGTGACTGTAGGTGGGCTCCTCGATGGGAGCCAGTCACCAGAAAGAGACCAAGCCATGATTAGATTGGAATTTTCAGCCCCACCTTCCATTCATTCTCCAGAATAGGAAGAGGGACTGAAAATGGAGTTAATAATTGATCATGTCTACGTCATGGAGCCTCCAGATGGGTGAACCCATCCACATACCAGAGGGTGACGCACCCCAATCCATGGGGAGAGAAGCTCCTGGGCTCACCACCCTCCCAGGTCTTCATCTGGCTTTATCATATCCTAGCAAACTAATTGAATCCAAAGCAGGAGTCGGTCTTGGGAACCTCCAATTTGTAGCCAGGTTGGACAGAAGTTGTGGGTAACCTGGGGACCTACTACTTGGTGACTGGCATCTGAAGTGGGGGCAAGTCGGACATCAGCTCCAGGTAGTGCTGAGTTAAGTTGTAGGACACCCAGCTCGGTGGGGATAAACCTCTACACATTTGGTGACTAGAGGTATCAAAAGTGAAGAGTTCTGGGGCTCCTGGCTGGCTCAGTTGGTAGAGCATGTGGCTCTTGATCCTAGGGTCATGAATTCAAGCCCCAGGTTGGGCCTAGAGATTATTTAAAAAGTGTGTGGGGGGGCGCACCTGGGTATCTCAGTCGATTGGGGGGTTGACTCTTGATTTTGGCTCAGGTCATGATCTCAGGGTCCTGGGATTGAGCTCTGCATTGGGTTCTGTGCTCAGTGGGGAATCTGCTTGAGGATTCTTTCTCCCTCCCTCAGCCCCTCCCCCCATGCATGTGTGCACTCTCTCAATCTCTCTCTAAAATAAATGGATAATTCTTAAAAAAAAAATAGTGTTCTGTGTGAAAGTATAGGAGACTCACAGGAGGAAGGGCTACTGTTTTTCTTTTCCTGATAAAATCTTATTACGAGGGATACTCAAACCTTGCTCTTTTGGTTAGAGTGGTGTCTTCTGGGATTCTCCTCTGAAGAATCACTATTTCCCCCCTTTATTCTTTTTTTTTTAATTTAATTTATTTTTTATTTTATTATTATTTTTTTAAAGATTTTATTTATTTATTTGAGACAGAGAGAATGAGAGAGAGAGAGCCCATGAGAGGGGGGAGGGTCAGAGGGAGAAGCAGACTCCCTGCTGAGCAGGGAGCCCGATGCGGGACTCGATCCAGGGACTCCAGGATCATGACCTGAGCCGAAGGCAGTCGCTTAACCAACAGAGCCACCCAGGCGCCCCTCCCCCCTTTATTCTTAATAAAATTTTGGAGGAGATACTTGGGGACCATGCAAATATCCCGTTTCTCCTCAAGCTTTCGATATTCACCAAAGCTCCCTTCGTGGTTCCAGTGAGTAGCCACAGCTGAGTACCGCTGAATTGGGTGGGTTGGGGGGGGGAGCTGACATGGTGGGTGGGATGGGGGCTTGAGAAGAGGTGACAGGAGGAATGGCTGAAGGCCTGAAAAAGATGCAAAGACTAGCGCTTCTGAACAATTTGAAGGATTGTCAAGAGTGAATGTCCGTTTGCTGGTTTGGAGTAAGTTGAGTCTGGAAAAACTAGTTTTGTGAAGCTACATGCAGTCTCCTGGAGCTCAGGGGAGTAGGCTTGCTTCAGCGGTGGGATGCCTATTCTCTTCTACTGGGAAGTCATTAAGTGACTACACACAGGATGAGTCACTACCTACCCATGGTCCCTGGGGAAATTGGTGGTGGCCCCTCTCCCTGGAATAAGAGTTACTGTTGGGGCGCCTGGGTGGCTCAGTCGTTAAGCGTCTGCCTTCAGCTCAGGTCATGATCCCAGGGTCCTGGGATCGAGCCCCGCATCGGGCTCCCTGCTCTGTGGGAAGCCTGTTTCTCCCTCTCCCGCTCCCTCTGCTTGTGTTCCTTCTTTCGCTGTGTCTCCGTCAAATAAATAAATAAAATCTTTAAAAAAAATTAAAAAAAAAAAGAGTTACTGTTCTGTTTGGAAATGTAAACTGTCTGAAATGTAAATTACCTCCCTCTCAACCCCCTGAGAGGGGGTACTTCCTGTCCCTGTGCTGGCCCCTGGGACACTACTATGAATGGGGACTGTGGCATCTTTCTTGCCGGTGGGCTCGTTGAGGGTTAGATAAAACTCTTACAGTGTCTGGCATGTGGTAGACACTCATCTGCGGTAAGTGCTCATTACTTGACAGAGAGACTAACTTTCAGCTCTAGGTCCAAGTTGCAAGCACCTAGATCCTGCTCTTTGGGTTAAAACATGGGCACTGTGACATAGAGCTCGGGGGTGGGGCAGCAAGAGGGGCAGGGAGGGCTGGCCTGGGGAAATAAAGCTGTTTTCTGATCAGATAAAGCTTCCTCAAGCTAAGGTGACCTAACAAGTATCTGTTTAGCATCTACTTTGTTCTACAGCGTTCTTCTGTGTTTTGGGTCCAGAGGCCTACAGGAGGCCTAGAGCTGATGAAAAATCAGGCCCTAGGGTGGGTTAGCAGCAGAGCTAAAGCCAGAATTAAATTCCTGTCATGCCAACTCACTCCTGAGGAAGTGCCCTTTACTGCTGGGTTTGGGAGTTGTGTTTCCCGAGAAAGGAGTGGAAATTCTGTCAGCTGTCCAGCAAAGAGGCTAGTCCTTGGACAATATGTGGAGCGTCCGGAGACAGGCATGGGAGTAGAGGGAAAGTGAGAGCTTTCTCTCTTTCCTGGCCCAACGTCTCCTGAACCCGGATTCTGAGGCACGGGCCACGGGATGGTCCGTTTTGCGTCCACTTGGCCAGGGCTCAGGTGCCAGTTGTTTGGCTGAACAGCAGTGTCAATGTTGCTGTGAATGTTTAATTCAGTAGACCTTGAGTAAAAAGCAGATTACTCTTTATAATGTGGAGAAACTCCATCCAATCAGTTGAAGGCCCTATGTGCAAAGACGGAGAGTTTCTGATGAAGAAAGAGTCCTCAAGACCGGAATGCAGACCCGGAACTCGCCTCCCTGAGTTTCCAGCCTACTGCCCTGTGGAGTTTGGACTCAACCCTGTGACATCAGCCTGAATTTCCAGCCTGCTGGCACATTGGCAACCACAGTGCTGTGAGCCAATCCCTTAAAATAAATCTCTATCTCTGTTTGTACATCTCTATCTTTATACCTTATTGGGTTTGTGTCTCTGAGAACACTTGACTAACACGAGCAGTTTCTCTAAAACTGCTGCAAGGGCTGAGCCTGGGAATTGGGCAAGAACAGTGGTGTTGGGGATCCTGTGGGTGGACCCTGACTGCAGTCCCTTCCAAGATTCAGATGGGACAGTCATATGAGGGTCAGCCCAAGATAGCCTGCAAGCCAGCCCCAGCCCCAGCCCACTCTGTCCAGCCTAGAGTTAAGAGTGGTTTTTATATGTTTAAAGGTCTGAGCAAACAAAGAAAACGACGTGACAGAAACTTTGTGTGGCCCACGACACCCAAAATATTTATTATTTGGTCCTTCACAGAAACAGGTTTGCCAACATGACTATGGATCATTAACTCTTAATGTTCAGCATACTCTTACCAGATGTTAAAGCCTGATCTCCGCTGTGCTGTGGGTAATTATGGGATGTAGGGTGTCAAAGGGAAACTGATGGCTTCTCTGGGATTCAGAGACTTAGGGGTACCTACTGTCAGAGAAGGTGTGTGCCCAGGGCATGAGGGCATGAGGACATGGTCATATCACAAAAGGCAGGTGTGGTCAGAAGGCTGGAGGGGAAAAAACTTGAAACTCTCCTTGAGCCCATGGGAAGTAGTATCTTGAGGTTACATGATGAAATAACAAATGGATATAAAGAGGGGACCTGGGTCTCTGTATGGGCAAATCAGGCTCTAGGTAAATCTCATCTGGGGGCTTAATGAAAATGTGATCTTATTTAGAAAGGTCTGGATTTACCATTTTTGTGGACAGAAGATCAGAATTACTCAACATGGAAACCGAGTTGGTGAAGTGAGGTGGTGGGTGAGCCAGGACTCCGGTCATACATTGGTTAGACTCGGGAGGTGCTGAATGTCACCAGGCTCTGCTGAGGTGTGGGGACATGGCCCTGCTCCAGGAACGAGGGTGGCTTTCTAACAACGGGATCCTCTGTTCATTACGGAAATATACCTCAAATGCTAGAATATGAGAAGACCACAAAGACAAAGCTGCTTCTTCTGAAGAAGTCCAAAATAAAGGGTTTTTTGCCAACTTAAGTGTATAAACTTTTAGGGATGCAAATGCCTGTTTGTGATATATGCTTGTAATATAATAGTTCTAGTATTTTATTTATTAATTTAGCTGCATGTTCACTTTATACATCACAATTCATTAATTTACAAATACTGAATTTTCCATTCTTTCATGAAACTGTTTTTTTGTTTGTTTTTGTTTTTAAATCTTCTCCTGAATCTTTGACAGTGTCTTTACTTTGCTGGAACCCTCCTCTTAAACACACACACACACCTTTCTTTTATGGAATATTTTAAACAGATATATACAAGTCAAGAGAATAATATAGTGAAACCCAAGTACCCACCACCAGCTGCAATAATTATCAATGCCTGGCCAATCTTGTTTCCTTTTTGTTTTTTGAAGATTTATTTATTTATTTTAGAAAGAGGGAGGGAGAGAATTTCAAGCAGACTCCCCACTGATCACAGAGCCCAATGTGGGGCTCGATCCCAGGACTCCGAGATCATGACCTGAGCTGCAATTAAGAATCAGATGCTTAACTGACTGAGCCACCCAGGCACCCCAATCTTGTTTCCTTTATGCCTACTCATTTATTCTATAGCATAATCTTTTTTCTTTTTTTTTTAAATTGAGATAAAAGTCACATAATGTAAAATTAACCACTTTGAAACATACCACTCATTGGTATTTAAGTACATTCACAAC